ATGTGACCTTTGTGTGAATAACTATCCATCATTCTCGAGCTTTCTCAGGATGCCACTTCTTGACTGTGTTATAGTTTACTTGATCATGAAACCCTTTGTCCATCATGAAAATCTTTTAATATGATGATCACTCACAAATTAACACCTTTTGATTATGTCATGATTATGCAATGCAAACAAAGAAAAAACAACATAACAAAGAAGATAGTACATATAAGATGACAAAAAGTAATAATAGTTAAATAAATTAATAAGTTTATGTAAAATAAGAATGAAAATGCAAATGCAAATGCACAAGGTGTTAATTCCAAAAGTGACCACTATAGAACAACCTTCATTTAGACAACAAGATTTCGTTACACTATGTAGTCAAAATACAATTGTGATTCTTCATTTCCTTGAGTCGTACTCCTAAGTTGTCAGTGTACTTTATCGCACTTAATGACGTCGAATGTTGAATTTTGAGATCTCCATTTTTACTTCAACGCAAAGTGGTCTTCGTGTATTTGTGGAGAGTCTTCTCGTTCTTGGTATGACTATATCTATCTTCTGAGGGAACATCTCGATCTTGTGAAGGGTCTCCTCGTCTCTTGAGGGAATATATTGGCCTTCGATTCTTTAAAGGAAGTCTTCAATCAGCTTCAACTTTCTTCATTCATCGGATGTCTTTCTTCAAGAATTATTTGAACGTCTTTGGATCTCTCGATTTTAACTACATGGTTAAGAATTTCTTGTCTCATTATGACCAGCCTTCTTATTAGTCAATCACTTGCGAATTAACACCTTTGAATGATATGAAGATTCAAATGCAATAAAATCACAATAAAATAGGCACAGGAAAAAAATGGGTTAGTCCACATAAGATAAATAACAAAATAATAAGTATCAAAATCATTAATATATAACCTACCCTCACATGTTGACTACTCAATCATGCTTTAGTAAATCTTACCCAACATGATATCTACCCATATACTTTGTCATTCATAAAAAACCCTAACCGCATGATTTCTAGTTCGCATGCATTTATTCGAGAAATTAAAATTACACTAAAGAATGCTCAAATAAGCTTTTCCTTGTGTACTCTCCTCACAGGATCAAATGGTATGGGTAAGGCCGTATCTGGGTTTTAAGTTTACTATGTTGGGCTTGGTTCTAAAGTAAAGGGTCCTCAAATTGTCCTTTGTCGGTGCCCCTTGGGCTACCAACCCTTAATCATGGCCCATCACATGCTTTCAGATCGAGTTCAATTCGAGGGGACACAGTTCCTTATGTCATTGCGAAGGTGAAAACCTCACGAGATCATAGGACGTGAACCCAAGGAGTGTTTCAATATCCCGTACGGAGGTGAAAACCACACGAGGGAGTAGTTACTTACTCCTACTTAAATAGGACAGAGCGGGGTTTTAGCTCATGTTATGCAAATGCAACTGTGCAGTGTGTGAGGAAAAGTGAAAATAAAACAACACATAATAAAAAAAACTCAAAAATCAATCCTCTTTCAACACATAATTAATCTGAAACCATTAGCAAACAGATCAATACAACTATTTATTAGTTAACCAAATTATGAACAAATTATATTGAAACCAAATAGGGGATCAAAAACCAAATTATAACGAATTTATAACTTTCAATTGCAAAGACAATCAATTAATCGACTATAGGCCTGACTCTCTAAAAAAATCCCCAGCGGAGTCGCCAAGCTGTCGAAACGATCTTTTTTTCCCGGATAAGATTTAAAAGCACACCAATTTTTAATTATTTTCTTCAGATAAGATTTTAAATAAAAGTGAATGTGATTTTAAAAACCTCTAGTTTCGAAAATTTGGAAATTCCATTACAATAAAAAAACATACGGTTCGAGGAGTCACCACCAATCTTTGATTAGGGTGTGATTGGACACCCAAAAACGTTTTTTTTTATTTTAAATAAAAAATCATTGTTATTTAAAACAACAAATGGAGGTATGTGTTACCAAAAAATGAGTTCGGGAGTAGGTTACGCGTAGGGAAGGATTAGCACCTCACAACGCCCTAAATTGGTACTTAGTCGATTAATTATAGTCTTTGCAATAAAATTTACAAACTCGTCTTTAATTTGATTTATGATCCCAAAACAAAAAACATGTGAATTTATAATATTAAAAAGCACCGAAATAGATTTAACCAAAATTACCAATCCTTTAACAAAGATAAAGAATATTCAATTATTTAAAAATATTGAGACTAGATCTTAAATAGTTATACAACATTTTCTCAATAAATTTAAATAGACAAACATTTCTTTTTCTTCCATTCCCAAATTTTAAAGTGATGAATCAATTTTTAGGTGTCACTAATGGGATACACTTTTAATTTAAAATCGTCAAAGCGGATTTCTAACCAGTTAAGACAACCACTTAAAATAATTTTAAATTAAAAAAGTATTACCCTTAATTCAATTATATAATAATGTCGAGTTAAGCAAGTGAGGTTATCATACAAATCATACAACATTATTCGAATAAGATAAATGACACTAGTCCTATATGTACACAAATGAATAAAATGGAAATTAAATTAGGCACTACACTATCTCATCTAAATTAAATACATAAAGTTTGAAACATGTAACCAAGCATCTAAATATAACATGTAATAAATACCCAATGTAAACTCACATAATTATTTAAAAAGAAATATTCAACATGCTTCAATTAATATTTATTCAAGAATATTAAAGTCAAACTTAAGCTTAGTTATAAAATACATATACATACATATATATATATATATTTACAGGGACACAAATGCAACCTCTTCTAGATAAAATGTATGTATGAAACGCGAAGACATGCAAAAGTAAGAACATATATTTACAAAAGAGAAAAGGTTTCATATAGTGATTAAAATACAAAGGGAGTAAATTTGGGGTTAAAATTAGAAACTATGCCCACTTTAAATCATGAAATATAATAATAATCATATTCCAAACATTAATGTTAAGATAAACCTATTCATACGATTTAAATAAAAAAATCTAAAATGATATTTCAAACGTACAAATAAGTGAGAAATTAAAATGATTAAATATGGGGACTAAAACACAATCCGACAAAAATACAAGTTTAAAAAAATAAAAAATAGCAAGAAATTAAAGATAACATAATATGGGACTGAAACAGCTAGTTAAACAAACAAAAGCAAAAAAAACACAAAAATCTTACATTCTAAAATTAAAATTGTAATAGACCCGAAACACTACACTAGACTAAAATGAAAACTTAAAACAACATAGCCCCAGGATTAAAATATAGCATGCGTATAACTTGAAGGCAAAATTTGAAATTTAACAAATCATGAAACATGGACTAAAATGCATTAACAAACATGGCCAGGATTTACTGTGCAAATAACCCAACCAATGCACTGAAATGGATCCCTTTCCACTAAAACACTGTCGTTTCATACATTTTATTTAAAACATTAGATTAATATTTAACCTAAAATCAAATCCCATTTCTGCTAAGCCTAAGATGTGCGCCGTTTTACTCTTCATTTCTCTCTTTCAACACAGACGCTACTCTCTTCATCTTCTACTTCCTTTCATGGCCGATTGCAACCTTTAGCCACCATGGCCGTCGGCTTGGTGGCTATCTCACACTCCGACTGGCGATTGAAGGAATCACAATGACGATTCAAATGATGACAACACGAACCCCTAAACTATCTAATTCGACTGAAAACCGAAACCCACAACCCCAGGCTCCTTACTCCGACGATGAAACCAAATCAAGGTAAATAATTTTCACTCTATCTCTCTTTATTCTTACTCTTTCAATTTTAAAGTCACGATCTAAAAACTAAACCCCACAACCCATATGCAAGGTTTCTCGAACAAATCTCAAGGATTCGATCTTAAGCTACGGTAATTCAAACACGCTCTCGGTAAGCTTCTAACCCTTATCCTAGCTTCAAACAAAAACCATATACATGAATCTTTGCTGGAAAATAAACAAAATGGGATAAATACCTCTTTATTAATGTTGTGTTTTTTGTTGTTGTTTTTTTCTCAAATGAAAGGAGGAAGACCCTTCTTTTACATTGCTTGATTCGAATACAGGAAAAAAAACTTCACCCATCCCCCATTTTATTTCGAATCTGAAAAGTAGAAGTTCCCCTTGTTTACCCTCTGTGTTTTGCTGCTGTCGAGACCCCCCTCTATGATCACTGATAAATTTCTGGTTTTGTGGTCCTCCTCCCATTACTTTTTTTCTGCTCCCTCATAAAGAATCAGAAAATCCTCCGATTTATTTCTTCTTCTCCACCGAATATCCCTTGTCTTCTTCTTGCATGTTGATTTTCTCTTTGTTTGGTAGGATAATGATGGGTTTAGGTGAAATAATCCCATGATTTTCGGGTTAGGTGCTTTCTTGACTTTGGTTTGATTTTTTTTTGTGCCGGTAGTGACTTGGCTTGAGTTAGTGTCAAATTTGATGCAGGTTTCACGTGAAAGGCATGGGTGGTGGCAACATCTAAACGGGTCAATTTTGGATCTGGCTCTTGTAACCGGGTTTGAATCCAAGTCTTGGGTTTGAATTTCTGGACTCCGGAATTTGTTGTAATTGGGCTGTAAAATAAAAATAAATAGTATTAATAATATAATTATATCCCGGACAAAATAGGTTTACACTTTCGATTAGCATGAGTTGTCTTGACAGAAAAGGCAGGCTCAACAACTAGATTAACATTCTTGACAGTTGTTGATTTTCTTCCTAATGATCAAGGAAAAAATCCTTAGATATAAAAGGCAATGGGTCTATCGAAAGAATCTGCCCCTTATATGAGCGTATGATTCGTTTAATCCCATCAAGAACTGAATGACCTGTTCTTGTTGTTGCTCCTCAAGCATGCGCTTACTCCTCCACAGGAACAATTTAAGCAATTACATAACTGCTTAATAGAAAAGAGTTCATCTCAAACAATTTTCAATTGAGTATAGAAAGTACTTACTGACATTTAGCCTTGCACCAAATCATTTAACTTGTTCTTCAACTGGAATAACCTTCGGCCATTAGATTGCTGAAAACGTTCAACAAGATCTTTCCGAATTTCTGCCGCAGTAGTATGATAAAGCAAACTCACAGTAATATCTTTGGAGACAGAGTTCAAGATCCAAGAATTCACAAAGCTATTAGCCCTAGTCCATGCACTAAACCTCTCCGGTGAAGAAGAATCAAGAGCCTGAATCGACTCATCAACAAAACCCAGTTTGTTCTTTGCAGAAAGAGCAAGCATCATTGATCTCCTCCAACTATGGAAATTATCGTTGGTCAAAATCTGCGTAACCAGAACCATGCCAGGATTATCGGATTGGTGTAAGCAATAAGGGTTGCTGCCATTATCAAAGCTATCACTCAACGAACCAGTCATGATGAATCGTGAAAAGAAGAGAAGAATATTGATACCATATAACAGTGGAAAACCGTGAAAAATCAAGAATGAAGTTGAATCTTCTTTCTCATTGAGGAAGAAATGTACAAAGTAAACAATATATACAACAGCCTGTTAATGTAACTAACTTAGATAACCACAAAACTATCATAACAGCCAAGTATCATAACAGTTACTGTAACGATAGGATTTTTTTATTGAATCGTCATAATATTAAAAGTTACAAAATATCTTTTGATTATAGGACATTATTATATTGAGTCATTTAACTATTAAAAATTATAAAAATAATCACTTGATTATTCATATGTTCTAAATACGTCCTTTTTTGATAAAAAAATTTGTGGTCATTAGAGCTGAAAGTTAACTTGTTGATTGATATGAATATAAAATCTGATCTCAGAATCGTTTGAGTATTATTTTATGGATCAATTCTTCATTTACATTATGTCATCGAGTTAGTGCTTAAAATATTATATAATTGAACCAGTACTTAAAAGAAATAATGGTGTCAGTAGATATCATTAAAATATGATTTTATCATATTCTAATCAACAAGTTAATATCTAATCAAATTTTTAACGAAAAAATACGAGTTTAGAACATATAAATAGTTAAGTGATCATTTTGTAACTTTTAATAATAAGGAACTAAACAATACCTTATAATTAAGGATCATTTTATAACTTTTAATAGTTAAATGATACTATAAAACAACACCCTATCAAAAATTATTTGTATACTTCACCCTTAAATTTTACTCCTAGCACAAAGTAAATGTTGTTAAATTAAGTGTAAGGTAAGAAGTTTTGATAACTCTCTTTTAATTAAAAAAAACTCCAAACACATGGAAGAGATAGAAGCGCTTGGTTGGAATGGTTCAATGAACGGCTCGTTTTTACATTTTTAAATTTGGTTCAGTGAATGAAAAACAGATTCAATGAATGGTTCAGATGCATAGTTAATAAGAATCAAATAACATCCAATCATGAACAATTAATTTTGTTTCCTTTCAGGTCACAGAAGATTGACCTTCTCTTCGACGGAACCAGTTTAAATAGCGGTAAGAAGTTTAATATCGTTTAAATATATTTTAAGTTCGAGTTTTTGTATATACAAAAAGTCTATATTAGAAGATTAACCTACTAAAATTATGTGACTAGGGATGGGCATAGGACCCAAATCCGAAGGGTTCCGACCCGGATCGGGTTTTTTTATAAAAAAAATTCATGTTTGGGTCGGGTTTTTAAAGGTATGTTTGGGTTGGGTCGGATTCAGGTTTAGGATGAAAAATATCCGATCTGACCCAAAAAATATAATTTTACCTTATATATTTAGGAATAATTACAATAATACCCATCTATATATTATTTTCAATTAAATCACTATTTTTATTGAATAAAAATAATATTTTTTATTATTTCGGGTTGAGTTTAATTTTATCTCAAAAAATCGGGTCGGGGCGGATTAGGTCAAGTCGGGTGAAGGGTGTGAAATTTTCGAGTGGGTCAGGTTGACCGAAACCCGACCCAAACTCGACCCATGCCCATACCTATGTATGACTTGGATCTAGATGTGTGACATAGATCAGTCTACATTAATCAGAACAAAGCCTAAGGAAGCTAAGGAAAAAAAAACATTAACCTTCTCTTGTATATAAATCCTAATTATATAATACAAAACTTTAATTTTACATATATTTTAATTTTTTTAAATTAATTAAATTTGATAATTGAAATTAAAATTTTTAAATATAAAAAAATTTAATTACTTTTTATAAAAACTATTTTTTTCTTAATCTCAATCATCAATTTTATGTTATTCAACAATTTTAAAAATGTATTTATTTTTTATTAATTTAGAATGGTTATAGGTAATATCTATTTTAAAAATTCTTAACCATTTAATAATGAAAACACTCAAATACTTTTAAAATATATGTTGATCTAGTGGGATGAGGCACTAGGTCCTTTAAGCAAGGTCAGGTTCGAATTCTAGCATTTACGAATTAAGCAAACTGTGTTGAGAGGGTCGTCATCGCCTCTGCAGTACTAGATCTGGATTAGTCGATTAATAGATCGGATATCAATGATTAATTCAAAAAAATATATGTTACTTGAACCTGAAACTTCTAAGAATAGCAATTATCACTTTAATCACTCAAATAATTTGGTTCATAAAAAATATTAAACTTACTATATTAACGAATCTTATTAATATATATATAAAAGACTAACGCGAATGAAATACTAAACCCTTAGTGCATTTTTCGGTGAGCAAATAAAAAATGTCAAAGAAATTCCAATACTTGATTTTAGACCACAAGTCCACTGCAAGAAACAAAAAATGAATAAACAATTATGGAAAATCCGCCTCGAAATTTCGTAGAAAACCTGCAGACAATTATGGAAAATCTGTCGGTCGTTTTCGTCTTTTATTTATGAAGCTGCCTCTTTGGCATATACAATTTTAATCTTTCATATAGGAGAAGAATGATCCTTGCTTTGTGAAGTCACCATCCAATTAACCAAATGTCCTCACCAATTGGGGATAGGATGGTGCAGTAGCAAATAAACAAATTTAGCTAAGTCAGATGATGCTTCTTCAGTTTATCATAGACTTTGAAGACTGTAAGAGAATTTATATTTGAATTTCAAAGAAAGAATGAGCAATGTGAAAGTCATATTGGAGTGTCACACTTCTATTCAAACAATTTTTTTTAACTGCATTATTTAAAAAATTCAGCCAACACCCTTCAAAAAGTCAATATAGTTGTTGGAAGAAGACTTGGGTCGTACACGTGAGTTAACCAACACAACTCTGAACGCTGAAAGCAGAGCAAAAGGCGGTTTCACAGTATAATGGTATACAATAGATGAGTGGGAATCTGAAGTCACTGGAATTGGATGCTTTCGTGGCTGATTGCTGATCATCTACCTGCCACGAGTCTTCTTTGTCCCCCGGCTAACCCAGTCTCACCACCCATTTATAAATGATGATTACGTGAAAAAGTCTTAATATATGATTAAAAAATATATTATCAGTTTTATTATTATTTAAATAATAAAATTATAAAAAATTATCGAAAAAATTATTATTTATATCGATTTTATTATTTTTTTCTATTGATTTTATTATTGTTAGGTATTTTACCGTAAATGTTAAAAAATATTAATGTTTTACGTAAAATAAATTTAAAAAATATTAATGTTTTACGTAAATAATAATATTTTAAATATTTTTTTTGATTTAAAAAAAAATTATTATTACCATATGATTTAATAATGATTGTGTCAAAAATATATTATATTACTCTAGGAACAACCTTTACTCTGTGGGGATAATTAAAAGCCGATTTTCTTGAAAAATCACTTATACTCTATATATTTTTCTGTTAAACACTCTTCAGATTATTATTTTTTTGATCTAATACCTTTTGCAGTAAGGCGCACCTCCTACAGCGCGTTTTACGTTGATATGGCGTTACGTGAGTAAGGCGCGCTCCCTGAAGCGCGCTTTATACTGAGTTGGGATACACGTGTGTAAAGCGCGACCCAAGCGGCGCGCCTTACCTTTAAATCTGACACGCGTCAGAAAGGCGCGCCCCCTGCGGCGCGCCTTAGGTTTAATTACCCACCTACCCCGGCCGTTCACACCCCCACCCCCTCCTTATAAATACCTCATTCTCAATCAATTTCATCACACCAAATCCTCTCAACTTCTCTCAAATACTCTTATTTTCTCTTATAATTGTTTAAGGTATATTTTATTATATTTAATATTTTATTTTTAATTTATTTAAGTATATAATTTTTTTAATATTTTATTTAATTAATTTTTTTTGCAGATATAAAATGGAAGGCATTCTACTTTGCTTGGATGGAAATCATATATCGCGACATTTTGCTAGTACAATAACATTTTAATGTTTTAATTTAATTTAAATTATTAGTTATAATTTATTTATTTATTTAATGCATGATTATTAGTTTAAAGATTAATTTTTGTAATTATTTAATTTTAGGAGAGGGACCGTGTATTAGATCCTTTTATTAGGAACCTTAAGTTAGTGATACATACCCGTGTCTTGCCGTATTTAGTAGAGGTTGGATTCGGTCACATATGTAGATATGAGGGTCACTGTAAGATAGAACAAACCTTATTGCTGCCTTAGTGGAGTGGTGGAGGCCGGAGACCCACACATTTCATCTTCCGTGCGGAGAGTGCACTATTACACTTGAGGATGTTTCTATGCACCTAGGGTTTCCGGTGGATGGAGATGTGATATCGGGGATGGCGCATGGTTCATGGACTACTTTGTGTCGGGAGTATCTAGAACGTGTCCCGAAAAGTTTTAACGGTGGTCAGATACCGTTAAATTGGTTAGATGCCAATTTTCGGGAGTTGAGCGAGGACGCCTCTGATGATGAAGTTAAAATGTATGCACGGCATGCATACTGCAGCTAATAGGAGGGTTGTTGATGCCGGACAAATCGCGCAACCAAGTTCACTGTATGTGGTTGCGACATCTTGGCGATTTTCATCTGGCCGGATCACTCAGTTGGGGCTCGACAGTTTTGGCTTTCCTGTACAGGGAGATGTGTCGAGCCACTGACTACAGGAAATTGCTATCGACGGATGTCTCATGCTGCTGCAGTCTTGGGCATGGTATCGATTACCTTTTTATGTCCTGTTGTCAAGAACCCATTCGTATTTTCGCTACTATTAAGGAAATTATAAAACTGATTTTGTATATTAATCATTTTATACAGTGTATAATAATTTTTTTCCTTGAACATGTGGTCTACTGATAAGAAAAATCATCAGGAGCTACCTGATGATTTAGAAAAAAATTAGGGTGTTAATCGATCAGAAGGCTGGCACACAGGTATGCATTTTAATGTTTAAAAATCGATTTTAGATTATAGTTATATAATTAGATTATAATTTTGATAAAAATTATATATATTTGTTTTAGT